CTAACAAAAGTGGGCTTCCCAGTTTACCCCCAACAATTACCCAAATGACGTCATCCCACCAAAACAACAACAACAATCTAAAGGCGCACAATATTGTCTCTGGCTAACTGGTTTTGTCATTTCAGTTATTGGTAAATCCTATCAAAAAGGCATCTATGCTGCAGAAAAATAATATACTTCAAGAAATACTCAATCAATACTGCATTTTAATGCTTTAATCTGAACACATTCGTAATCAAGTTTCATTTTATTATTTGAATAATAATTATGATTATTTAAAATTGGTACGTAAGAAAAAGATCATCAAAAATTATAAATTCACTTTGTCGCTATTTTAATTCTTACTAAAATCAGGTATTTACACTTCTAAATCTGATATACAGTATGCTTTTCCACATCTATCAAATGTGTTTACGCAATTAGAAAGAATTCACATAGGTAAGCTATCAAGAATATATAATAATACCTAATGAAAGAACAGGTGAATCTATTGATATTACACGATTGAATCTTCACTTAGTGTGCAACATATAAAAAATCAATTTACAATATCAGATCATTCTGCCAGTACATGTTATGATTATATCCAACTATTTTTATTATAATAAAATGGTATTGGATTATAATAATAACATGTACTAGTGGAATGATCTGGTATTGTAAAATAATTTTTTATATAATAGTAAGGTAAGATTAAAGTGGCTATGGCAATAGAAAGATAGAATGTCTGTTAAAGCAAAAACGCAGCTTTGTGATTTCATAAAATTACATACCCTATAAAAATTTGTACAGTTATTGTAGGCATTATCAAAAAAATGTTCAGAATGGAGTCGATTTTCCGAACAAAAAATTGGATGATTTCAGAATTTTCTGAACAAATCTAAGAGATTTTTTTTTATAGGATATTAATATAAACCTAGTTCAATATAAATTATTAAACTCTTTCCCGTACATCACAAAAATTGAGTAAACAAACAAGACAAAACGCATAGAACCAGCAAAACATT